GTGTGTGTGTGTGTGTGTGTGTGTGTGTGTGTGTGTGTGTGTGTGTGTGTGTGTGTGTGGGTGTGTGTGAGTGAGTGAGTGAGTGAGTGAGTGAGTGAGTGAGAGAGAGAGAGTGTGTGTGTCTGTGTTTGAGTGTGTGTTTGTGTGTTTGTGTGTGTGTGTGTGTGTGTGTGTGTGTGTGTGTGTAGGACCTTATACACGCTGAAATCACCTCTTACTGCTTTGATGAACAAGAATTAATCGTTCATGTGTGTGATGCAGCCATCCATACAAAAAATAAAATAAAAAAACAAAATCTGAAACAAACACTCTCTTTACAATTAAGCTGCTTGGGGTTATATTTATTTGGAACTGAAGGAAAAGGACTTACTTTTTTTTGGACAAAAAAGGCACTTAGAGGAAGCAAATGTAAGAGCCTGAAAAGATTGCACACAGTATAAACTACTGATGTGTGTAGGCGTTAGCGCTGCACCACAAACACCTCTGAGTTGATAACATAAATATTGCTTTACTCAATTATTTATGTGTTATTTATTTACTTGAAAAGGGAAGTATTTGTAGGAAGAATCACAGCAGTTTTGTCTAATATATTGTCGCACACTTTAGCAACATAAACATGGTTATTTTCATTCTGCATGCTTGGGGTTAAAAATGACCCCAAATAAGTTTGAAAAGCAATAAAACTAAAGAAATGTTTTCAATCTTTCTAAAGCAGGACTGAAGAGTTTTAGATTATTTGAACAAACAGGAAAAAATTATTAGAGAAATCAAAAATACTAGTATTTCTCATAGACGTTAGTTGTTTTAGCTTTAGTAGAATTATTACTTGCATTCCTATTTCCAGACCATAGAAAGGAGGTTTCCAGATAACTGATTTGTGAGTAGGAGGAGCACAGGGAACAAAGATAGTCCATACAACTGTCTCATTCACAAACAAACACACAGCACATGTCCAGGTGAAGATAAGCAGGACATATGAGAGCCAGTTGTCATTACATCTGTATTTAAAGAGACAGGGCTCTGAGTTTCCCGGTACAATGGATGTAAACATTGACATTATCATGTCTACTGCGGCAGTTTTTCCAACGCTCATAGTGCTGATGTCAAAATCAAAATGCTGATTGTATTCATCCCTATTGAACCTCCAACCAGCAGATGACTTAATATACGTCCTTTATCATCTTGAGGGCAATCATTTCCATTTTTCTCACCAAGAGTGACAGATGTGAACCATCCCATTGACCATAATTAATCTGTGTTTAAAATGAACAGGCCACAGAGTGGAGGAGGCATTGCCCAGGGTCTGAGGGCCCATGTCACAGTGGTGTCTGTCTGGCCCCGTGCATCTCAGTGTAATTATCCCATTGCCATGAATAATGGGACAAGGGGGATCAGAGTGATGCTTTGATAGAGATGAGATTAGTTTAATCAAGTTCATTGCTTGGGCTAGGCCACCGAATCTCATCATCCCTCCTCTCAAATCACCAGACCCTCACCCCACCCGACAAAGCTCCCTTTACGCCTGCCACATTAGCCAGAAAAATTTATGACATCGTTAGTTTTAAGTGCTACCTCTGTTAGGACAATGCATACTTAAAGCAAAACCCTTTGTGACTAAAGTATTCATATTAAACGGGACAAAAGCAGGAGTCCAGAATCTGTAGGCAGACTCTTATCATATGGTCTGTAGACATTATCACAATAATGATATTGGAATTGGTCTTCCAATAGTAGAATATTTGTTCAATACAATTCTATATTTGCTTTTAAGTCAGACATATGGCATATACCTTATACATCCATCTATTACCTAGGCCAACAGTGAGTAATTCAGGGTCACACAAATTCATTATACAGAAAAACTGTTGGTTTTCAATAGTTTAGGCACCTCTCATTAGAAAGTCAAACATAGGATTTATCATCGTAAAGTGTTGGCCCCCCCGAGGCAGATACTCATGTACAACAGTAATAATGTCGCAGGCCACTGTGTGTATTTACAGACTACAAATCATATTTGTCAAAACTGACAAACCCAGCATGAGACAAAGGCAGCGGAGTCATATAGTGAGTGAGGAGAAATCCATAAACACATGTTCCCTGCAGCGCACCATCACTCTGCAGCCGGCCTGACGTCAGAGGACAGGCCTTAAACTGTCCACAGAGGACTACAACTTTGCAAACAAAGCCCCAAGTCGAGTCTCTTCGGAAGTCCCGACTTTGACTGTTTCCTAGCTTTGTGTCAACACTCTGCCTCGCAGCCCACTCTACAAAAAATACCATTATTACAGCACAATTTGGGAGCCATTCATCAAATAAGACATAGGATTAATTAAGCCTGAGGACTATTGTGCTGTAATAATGGTATTTTTTGTAGAGTGGGCTGCGAGGCAGAGTNCAAAACGTTAAGTGTTTGATGTTGTTCTTACTAGCAACCGAAAAGTTTACTGTTGTTATTGAAGCAAGACAGGGCTTACTTCAAACATCAACCTACTAAACGACAGGAGAATTTAACAGGTGTAAAGGGGGGGTCCACCAATCCTACAAGTGAGTTAATCGTTGACTCTTCGAACTACCGAAAGTTTTACGTTGTTATGTGAAGCAAGATAGGGCTACAAACATAAACCTACTAAACCGAACAGGAGAGATTTACAGGGTTAAAAGGGAGTCACCTAGTTCCTACCAAGTGAGATCGTTTGACTCTCGAACTACCAAAGGTCCTTTATCCACCGAACCAGTAATAAATTGGTTGAATAGATTAAAGACTCGGTTAAAACATTCATGTAAAGTTGCAGGTAAGACAAATATACAAGAGATAAGAACGGAGTTAAATTAAGTCGTTATAACAATACAACAATTTTCTAGTATACATGGAATCACCGGATAACGTGCTGGGTTTCATGATGCCATGTTCCATGTCTGTACTAGTAACTAAGTATACAGGTCGTAAGTATGAAAAGGTCGATTTATTAACGTTAACGACGAAAGACTATAATTCAATCCGGAGTTTCATCAGGAAATAGACGTACACAGAAAAATTTTGGTCCAAATTTAAACTAAAACCCATCAACAAGTATAAAACATGCTGACCGAACACCACCTGGATGTCCTTCAAAACAGTGACCACCACAAAACCATACCGTGACATGGGTACAGGAGTGTGCCTACGTGAGCTATTGAGAGAGTGACTTGTGACCCGAACAGGAAGAGTGTTCGATGAGACGTACGTGAGTGACGTATGGGTGACGGAACGACATAACAATCATTGATGGCGGTTTGGAATGGGAGTACGGTGTCTGAAAAAAGATGATATGACTTATTCGTGTCTGTTCCCCCAATAACTTAACGTCAATACACACCGAATAGTTGTCATTCCCATTCATTCCACGTACATGACATAGACATACCGTCTACCATTCCAATCCATTCAATTTGGAAATCACTTTTTACTTTATAAGAGAGTGATGATTTTTTCAGGGAAACCATTACGAACATCTCCGTTACTAGTGGAAAGTCATACAGTATTATATTTGCCAAAGACAACGTCCCGCGGACAAAAATAAAATGTATAGCCAATGATACATTACATTACAGAACAATATACTGGTACAGTTGGTCACGTGCCACAGACTAGTGACACCTTAAAGGGACGTCTTACTGGTCCTGCACGTGGCCGTTTCACAAACTGCTAGCGTCGCCGACGAAAGGTCTCAACCTGGGACGACCGGCCTGTGCTTACAACCTCCTCCTTTTGCTGCCTCTACAAAGTTTTTCGGTGAGCAACTGAGACTGACCCTGGTTGTAAGTGTATATACCTTTTACGGCTTTTCCTATTTTTTTCTTCGTCAAACCTTAAGAGGGGGCAGGGAAATGGAGTTAAGGAAAAAAGAATAACAGCCAACAGCAACCAGACATCCAAAAAGAGCAAACACATTTGGTAAAGAGATGAATTTGCATTGAAGCTTTTACAAAAGCCACATGGAAACTAGGCCCGCATCAGGTAAAGTAGAAAATACAGCATGAGCTCAATAATGATGAGGAACAGCGAAGGTCAACCAGAGGAAAATACAAATTCCTTGATAGCTGTTTATGGGACAAAACAAATCTACATTTTCTAGTAATGTTGATACTTGTTGAAGGTTAAATAAACTCATGAGTGCACAAGGCTAAGCTGTTCTGTGTTTAAATCTTAGTAGCTTGCATTTGGATCTCTTCTACTGGGTCAGTCTTAAAATCCCCGACATCTTGTCTATACTGGCCATACAGGAAAAGCTCAATGTTACTGTGGCACCACCTACAGATGAAATCCAACCACAGTCTGCAGAATCAGCCAGATAATAGGGGGAAAAGCATGGGACATGACGTTTTTTTCTTCTAATTTGTTCAAATATATATTATTTTTTTAAGCACAGTAGGGCCTGGATTACATCTGTAAAGGTAAATACATGTCAAATTACTTCTACTGGTGGAGTCAGGTTTTTTCAAATGTATAATTTCAAGTATTGCTTCATTGCACAGCTGTAAGATCTGCGGTCACCAGGTTCACTTCATATGGAAACAAAATGTCTTCCCTCAACAGAGAACCACCCTATGTAAACATAACAACGCTCGTGTATCATATAAAAAACATGTTGCCATATCCCAGAAGGTCTGATTTGGCTTGAAAAGTGCGTGTGTTTGAGTGGACTGTACTTACTCTTTGATACAATCTGGTATGGACACATACTCCATTGGAACCAGTTCTGCAAGGTCTGTCAAGCTGAACACATACTGGAGTTTCTGACTAAATTTGGTGCTGTCAAAAAAGAAAAAGGGGAAATGTCAGAATCTAAAAGGTTACCAGAGTGAATCTTAATTTAATAATTTTAGTGACTTTAAACATTATAAATGACCTTATGAAAGGTTTTGTGAGTGCCAGCAGCGTGCGAATAAACCAGGAGGGATGAACGATTATCAAAGACTTCAAGTTCTTCCTTAACCTGTACAGAAAGGGAGGGAAATAGACAACATGTAATCACATACAACTGTCTGAGGATTGGCCTGATGCTCTGCTTGTTTCTGAGTGTGACGTTCAATCCGACTGACCTCCTGTCAATCTGCTGATAACACTTTCTGAGCCAGCCGACAGTTGGCATCTTTTTCCTTGAGGTGGCTCCGTTCAAATACACAATCATATAGTTCTCAGCAACCAAAAGTTCAAGTGTGCCGATGACATACCTGCAGGAAACAGGGAAATAGCATTAGTGCTGGATCCAAATGGTTCCCTCACAAGGCCAGAAGAAATCAAATAAACACTCACTTGAATAAATTGTCCATGATGTATCTGTAATTTGGTTGACTGCTTTCAGGCATATAGCACACAGCGAACACAATTATGGCATTCAAACCGTCTCCATAGTAACCTACAGTGAAAAATCAAACATGAAAAATGTATGTTTCAGTATCAAAACACTGTTTTCATTGTCAAAAAAGTTCACAGACTGTTCATTTCCATCAGTTTATATTTATGCCACTGACCTCCATGGCTGATAACCCTCTTGTAAGGTTCGATGGCCTTCATGTCCACTCTGTGTTCCTGGTCTCCGATGCGAAACACCCTCCAGCGCCGACCCTCCTCCCTCTCCTCCGAGGCGGAGTACTCCTGGACGGACTCCATGCCCTTCTGTAGGACTTCTGTGGTTTTCGGCTTGGGGAGGTCATCTGAAGGAGAGGGGGCATTTTTAAACCCACAGCCTGGAGGCTACACACACAGTGGATGGGATTGTGTCAGGTGTAATCAAAGCAGACGGAGCTGTTTGATCTTTTCAAATGTTTAGATCACTCAATTTATTCATAGTTTACATTTTCAATAACATGCATTGTAATCATTGGAAATTAAGATTGCATAACATTTTCTGCTTTTACTTTTTGCATCTGGGCTGCATGCTTTCTCTCTGAATCAACACCAACAATCAAATCTCAACTTCCATGTCTCCCTTTCACTTGAAGTCAACATTTACAAATACCTGACACCATTTCCTGGGAGAAAACCTGTAATTGTTCCCTGCATGTGAAATAAATATGTCGTGCAAATACTGATTATTTTTGTACGTCTTTTGTAGAATATATAGGTGCATGATGTGCACAATGTCTTATACCATGCATCATCTAGACACCAAGTAAATGTTTAAAATATCATAGGTCAAGCATGCAAAAAGCTAAATAAAATAAAAGGCGAATAGTGCAACCAAATCACATCAACACACTTGTATAAGGATCTCTCTAAGCAGTTCATCAGAAATCAGTTGTTTCCTTTAGAGCACTACTCATACTCAAATTTAGCATGGACATGCATGGTAAAAGGTTTATAAAATAAACTATCAAATGAATAGTAATCAAAAAATATATTTTAGGTGGTAAAATGCCAAATGTATTGGATCACCAATTAAAGGCCAATTCAATTTGGCATAATTTGGGTGCTATATTGTATTAATTAACTGTCATTTCCTGTTTGTGACACAGCAAATGACAAATAACCAAATAGCAGGTGTAAGCAGGTGTTAAAATGGCTAGTTTGTGATAACTGCAGCATTACTGTGCAGATTGAACTTGATTGATTGTTCACTCAACGCATTTCAAGGAAAAAAAAAAGACATGCATATAAACAATAACTGAAATGAAGTTTATGAAACACAAAACCTCCCCATGATTTGTTGAACAACAGACAACAAAACAAAATCGGGACAATATGGCTTGATTGACTCGTGGTTCGGCAGAACAAAATGGGGGCTGTCCAGAAGACCTTACCACACGGGAGAAAGAAACCTGTTGCTGGCCTGCAGCCTGTTTCCAGGCTGAGAAGGGAAACACTGCTTCAAAGTGAAAAAGAGGAAGGCAGCATTGCGGAAACAGAAAAACGACAAAGCACATTTTAACTACACTGAAGGCAGTCAGCTGCCGACCCCATATATGTACAATCAGGAAGGAAATAAAAACAAAGACAATAGAACCCAGAAATAAAATGCTGGACTGATAACACATTTGATCCTGTGTTAAAAGCCAATAGAGAAAGGAGAGTACCGTAATTTTCAGACTATAAGCCGCGCCTTTTTTCCCATTTTTCGACCCTGTGGCTTATATAACGATGCGGCTAATCTATGGATTTTTACAGCTAACGGCCACTAGGGGACCTCCTAAATCTATGGATTTTACAGGTTACAGTCCACCACCTTTAACTCTATGGGCTCTATGGCCGGTCCGCGCCCCCACCTTTAAGCGGCGGGCTACAGCAGGTAAATTTGGTGGCCGGAAAAGAGTGAGACAGGTAGCGCGCAAAAGTAAAAGTGGAACCGAGAGTGGTACGAGAGACAGAACGAGAGCAAGACAGACAGACATTACGAGAGCGAGACAGTTTGTCCCCGTACCACTGGTTGAAAACCACTGCTGTAGATCACTGCCGGTACGTGCGCTGGGAGCGCACCGTTTAAGTTTGAAAGTTGAAAAGTTTGTGTGTCTGAAACGCTATGTGATACAGTACAGTTTACACAGCACATGTTCTGTAGCTACTATTGCACTAAATGGTAACACTTGAATACGTTATGCAAATATGCAACTTGTTTGTTGAAATGTTAATAAATGGGAGCTTCCTCAAACAGCCATCTCTTTCCCGACAATCCCCTCTGTGCACGAACCCTTACATATGGTAATTAAACATTAAAACACCTGCGGCTTATAGTCCAGTGCGGCTTATATATGTACACATCATTCAATTTAGCTGCTGCGGCTTATATTCAGGTGCGCCTTATAGTCCGAAAATTACGGTACTTCTTTTCCTAAAAAAATGAAACATCTGTAGACTTCATCTGGATCCAATTTAAAGGCATCTTTGCACCTCCCTCTTCATCAAGTCAATCTAAAATGAACTCTTTGAACTTTCAGTGTTACTTAAACAAACTGGAACAAACAGGGTTAAAAACTGTAATTAGTATCCTGTCATGATACAAACTTCTTACCTTCCCATTCAAACTCATTACTGTTGTCTGACGGTGTGTCTATGTCATCGAGGTCCAGCTCTGTGCTCTCATCCAGGTCGTCGGAGAGGAGGGAGCCTTCGCTGCGGTCCAGAGTGAGACTGATGTCCGGAGCGGTGAGCTTCCTCTTTGCCTTCTTGCCATGATCCATTCCATAGCCTGGGGTGGAGGACAAACCAGCAGTGTTTATACTGTCTGTGAGAACAAGAGTCCATTCCTTCGTTCAGCTAAAACTAATATAAGGCTTCTTTTTTGTTTGAGTCATGATATCAAATGATCTCTTCCAACAGTACGGTCTTTCACTTCAATATTCCCTCTCACTGTCTGAGAGGATTCGCAGTAAAAATCAAAATATTGTTAGATACCCTTTTGTGTTTGATAACTCAGACTGATGATATTAGTTTTGGCTGAACTTAAGAGAATGAACAGGAGTATTATACTGACTAATACATCTCTGATCACAATGTGGATTTTAAGATATACTTGAAATTGTGTCCTCTTTAAAGCAATGCACTTTTTCTTATTACCGGGGTCTATCTCTTCAGAGGTTCCTGCAAAAAGCTCACCTTCCAGCTCCTCTTCCTCCGGTAGGGGCCTAATAATCAAACAGCAGGTGATAAAGCTTTCAGTAGGGTTATACTTCATGTGACTTTCAAAACACAAAGGTGTGAAACTAATCTGTGAACTATAATCCATATGTGATTAACAACATTATGACCGATTGACAATACCGTGGAAAGTCCTCATCCTGCCACTCCTCCTTGAGTTCAACTCCTTCCATCCTTAGACGAGCTTCTGTTGTGGCAACTGACTCTTGGCGCTCCAAGCTGGAAATGGAAATCAAAAAAGGTTATACCATCTTTTAAGTTTAACAATCTCTAATTGCTAAAAGGCCCTCTTGTAATACACATGTAATAAGATAACCAGCAGGGCCAGCAGAGATTATCCATGACAAACCAAACACATAATGAGTTTTCTTAGAAATGCTGCTTGTGACTTGTAAAATACTCAAAGGATTATGGGGGAAGCAACGACCAGGAGTCAAAGGCAGTTTTTATTCTTGTCAGCAACTAAAACAGGGTAATGAATATGGATAATGATGGAAGGCTACAAAACATTAGATACACCATAATAAAGTTGGATAAAAGCATATAATACTTAAAACAAGGTTAGGCATAATTTTCTGTTCTGCATCTTTTTTAATTTTTTTTTTTAAATAATTCAATGGAGCAAAACACAAGAACCAAATTAAGTGTACTGACTTTCTCCCTGACACTTAAAATCAATAGGCTAGAGCCAACTCCTCAGTTTTCATTAGCAAAGGTTACAGTGACATGAACAAGCAATTTGTATCTTCACAGCTGGAAATACTGCTTACCAAGAGTTTGGCTTTTAGGATAAACCTTATAGTTCTAATTAGAGATGTCCCGATCCGATCACGTGATCGGGGATCGGAGCCGATCACATGATTTTCAAAAGATCGGAATCGGGAGAAAAAAATCGGGGATCGGGATTTTTTTTAATTTTTTTAAAATACTTTTATTTTATTTTGTATTCAATGTTACAAAACAAAAATGACCATGTTCAAGTATTACACAACATCATGTATGTGTTGCTTCTTTGGGGCTTGTTTTCATAGACCTGGTTGCTTATTTCTCTCAAATCTGGCAACAGAGTGGGCAGGGCGCAGTGTCTAATTGTAGCAGTAAGCTAACCAGTACTGATAAGCTTTATTTTGTTTTGATCCAATGCTGCACAACTGAACTGATCCAATGCTGCTGTGAAAAAAAGAAGCTATATCCATGTTGGATAGAATATCCAATTTAAATAAAAAAATAACCTTAAGGGACAACTTGAATGCATTTTTTCTTTTTTTTTTTCCTCTTAATGCATTGCATAAAGATCGGATCGGGAAAAATCGGTATCGGCAAATTGTCAAAATCAAATGATCGGAATCGGATCGTGAGCAAAAAAAGGTGCTCGGGACATCCCTAGTTCTAATGCATACTTTATAATAACAGCTTTCTGTGTTGGGGTTAACCCGATCTGTTACTTACGACCTTAGCATTACATTAGGTCAGCGAAACGCTTTTTATATGTTCATATAAAAAACGTTATGTTTCTCCAGTCCTCACAAGATGACATGGGCTTTTTGACTTTTTGATCAAATATTTGATTATCTGATGAATCACGTTAATGCATGTTGATTGCATTTATGGGGAATTAAAACTTGTCACATAATAAGATCACTGGCTTCTTGAAAAGCTTTTCAAGCTTGTATTAAAGGCTTAGTTTATAAACCATAAGGCCACTCACTAATGCGGACCATGGTCTCTGCATCTCTGCTGTACAGAGCTCCCTTTGATGCATTAATCACTTACACGGCCGTATTGTGCTTCCAGACACAAACACATTCTGGGTATTTGGTGCTCAACATTTCAAAAAAGTTGAGCTCTTTGCTTGTGTATAGTTGTAATCCCCTAACATCTGAAATCCAACTGAGAGAGGTGCAGTGGAAGTGCCCCAGGAATGTGGTTTTCTTAAAAGGACACCCTTGGATTGAAAGTGCCTCGAAAATCATCAGCTACATTAGAGAGTCGGATGAAAAGCATGAATAACAGTGGTCATGGTTTCAAACATCTAGACAGGAATATTATGTGTTAACACAGTAAAATTATCTTCCTTGTCTTTACCTTTTCTTGCAGGAAAGGGTGGGGAACTATAAATATAAAAGTCTAGATATGAAGCCAGAAAACCGAAAACAGTTTGTGAACAGCTTATTCAAACTGTAAAGATTATTATTAACTACATTTTATATTTGTAGTCCTTGAGCACATTTTAGGGGACTTGTGATGTTTGAAATATCATGACGTGCATTAAAAATCGAACAAAAAAACTGATGAACATTTGCATGCCAATATTGACCAATATTCGTGATGTGTGTATTTAAACAAATATTCAAACAACATAATTCAGTTCTCTGACATCAAAACAGTACAAGCTAGTAGGAACCATTGCAAGATGCCTGGAGTTACTCTGGCACGGACCTGTTTACAAAAGCCTCTATAATGACCTAAGCTGTCTGTCTGATAAAGATCCAATCGGTCTGTTTTGGCTTTAGTGAAGCACTCTCTAGTTTAAATGTACAATTATTCACTACATAAAGATGCATTTTATTCTAAATTAATGTATAAAAGGCAAATGCACAATATATAGAAGCCCCTTACAATTTTTAACCTAGATCAACACAGTGGTCCTTTGCAGGCGATGAATTTTTGTCAGAGGTCAGTGAAATGATGCTCTGTGGATGTAACGTTGGCTAACGGTCCACAGATGTTGTTTACTCATTACCTACAGAGGCTTAAGGCAACAACAAATACACCTGTACAATATCATCCGGTCCAAATATAGGCAATACACATACTACATTATGAGAGTTCCACTTTTTGTTGAGATGTGCAAGAAGTGTTAATTAACTCTATGGAAATGTTCGACATCATAGACTGGACTATGCGTGTCATTGTGTACACCACATTTAAAATGGAAATAAATGCCTTACCAGCCTCTAGCTTCTACTTTTCCTGTTGTTCTGGTCAAACAGCAAACACAGAAATGTCCCAGGGTTTAAAAAAAAAGATATATCCTTCACTTTTAGTATTCAAGCCTGTTTTTAGACTAAGCATTTCATTTGAAAATAAATGATGTTAAGTTTATATTTGAATATTGGTGTTCCTGAATCAGTTTAACATTATTTATTTATTTTTTGTTTGGTACTGTATAAATGCTGGTCTTTTAAAAACACCTTTGCAATCGAGTACACTCTCACTTGAACACAAGGCATCTGTCTCTAGAGAGAACAGTATGTTTGCAATGGATAGATGAAACCAGGAACTAGCTTATATAATTAAGTTGCCAACATGTAAACCACACTTAAAAATACACATACAGACCTTCCAATGGGTCCAGGGGGACAGCGGGGCTGGGGGAGGCTCACCGGGGTAGAGCTTCTCGCTCCCGGCTGTTCCTGCTCATTGTCTGGAGTTGTCCTTTCCTGTGGCGTACCTCTTGCTTTGGTTAGACTCTCTTGAAGTGCCTCTTCGCCATTTTCCACTGTAGACGTTGTGCTATTTTCTAATTCGTCTAGTTCCTCCTCATCACATTCTCCAGACACTCCAGAAGATGAAGGACTAGACGCCTGTCTGTTTCCCAGCTCTTCAAGAGTCTTCCTGGGAGTGACAAAATCTGGGCTGCTTTTGTTTAAATTCATATCACCTACACCCTTCAGCACAGCTTCACTCTCAATAACTTCCGTTGCCATCAGTTTCTTCTGTTCACTAGAACCGCTAGAGCGGATCTGAGTGAAAGAGTCCGCCAATTAAAAGTTGAAACACCGGTTTGCTGGTTGAACTAAATCAGTTATAGAACTGCATCTGACATCTGACTTGTAAACTTGTTTAAAGTTCGGGGCCAGCGTGCTAGCTCTCGTCCGCTATACAGCTAGCCAGAAGGACTGTTGTTGTTGACAGCTAGCTACCCCCACTAACAGCTATATTATTGACCAAAAAGTGTTATATGTCGCACAGGGTGGACAAATAGTCACCTTTTCCAAATGCGTCAGGGTGCGTGAAGACGGGAGTCGAAAAAAGTGCTAGCTTTGCATAAGCAACGGTGCACAGTGTTCCTACTTATCAATTTCCTCCCTTCCTTCCTCCAAGTCAGAATGTTCTCCTGTGGACGTAACGTTAGTCACGCTAATGCTAGCATATGCGCTAGTTAGCTAGCTAACTAATTTAGCCACAGCAAAAGACTAGCTTATGTTGTCCACTTTGCACCGGCATTTATCCATAAAACCAAGCTAGTTGTCAACTACGACACAACGTTAGAACAACAGTCCCAAGGGTCCTTGTAAGGTGCAAGGTGAGTATCCACTGTTTAAACTAGCCGGTAACGGCAGAAGACGGTTATTAGCTAACTAACCGGAGCATTCTGTTGTTGAGTTTTCAGCTAACGTCAGAGGAAGCGAGCGTGCTGTGGAGTTGCCAGTTGTGTTTCCTGCAGGTTAGTATCTACACATTCTACCTTCACATCTGAAACACTAAGCACACTAAGATATGGTATCTTTGTTTTTTACATAAAATGTAGAATTAATCGTTTTCACCATCTGAATTATAACGTGCTTCAATGCCTCGTCGTCATCCTACTTTATTACAAATATTCTCTTCTGTTCAGTTTCTCACGTCACATGTTTAAACGACCCAAACAAACGTCATAAAGTGCATTTCGCACCAATTTTATTTCCAAACAGCTTATATCAAGTTATTTTGGAATACGTCAATAGAGAATATATGAGTCCAAATAGTTCTGACTGATCTATGTAAAATGAGCAAACCTGGCACCCCTGCCAGATTTGGTCCTTAAAAACTGTCGAGGTGTCACAGCAGAATCTGGTAAACATGTAACTTCGATTTTCATTTTTCATTTTAATTCCCCATAAACATCAGCAATACATTGTCAACTGCATTTTGATTTCAGTTAAAGTTATAGTAGTAGAGCTACATATATTGTATGTATGTAATGTAGGCTAGCTTTTTGAATTAATTTACATTAACATTTTATTATGTGTTTTATTTTGTACTTCTCCCTCAAGTACACTTTTTTGATATTTACTTCTTAATGATTTAGCTCGGGTGCATTTTTAACTGAACTACTTTTCATTTTACTTTTTGCATTACAGAATAGCTACTTGAACATAATTAAATGTAGGTCCACCTATACTATAACTTTATATTTTAGGATGGGTATTGGTAGGTCCAAGCTTCATAAGCAACCTCTGTTTTGTTGCTATGCAAACACACAAATGTATGAGTGCCAACTTGAGAGTTCAATTCAAAATTCCATGCTGCAGTGTCAGACTGAGACTTGTAGAAATGTAACACTCCCTGTGTATCATGCAGTATTTAAGACTACATCATAACATCATATTTAAAACGAGTTACATTTTGTGTGGTTTATTATAATTGTTCAACTATCATTTTAATATGATTTTGAAGGAGGTGCATTAGTCACTTCATAAATCTGAGCTTTACCTTTAGTGACATATATTTGTCACTAGGTGGAGGCAGAGGCTCACTTTAACGCTGCATGCAAGGTTAAGCCTTTATTGATACACATCCGCTATAATTCATACCTTTGTGAAAAATAAACTGCAGTCTGAGGTTTAATGACCATTTGTAATTACGAAGCTAACTTTTAAGTTACATTTCCAGATGTTCAATATATATGGGAATTTTGAAATAACATGACAATATCATGTCTTTGTATTTAAAAATAAATTTGGGTAAAGTCATCCTTCAGGTTTGGCATTATCAATAAATAATTCTGAAGAGTACAGAATATGTCAGTCCATTTTAGTTTCAAGAGCTTTTAGCTCCACTTATTTCTTAACTGCAACACATATTCTATCATTTCTCTTTTGGTGATAGTTATAATTACCATTTTATTATCAGACCTCATGGATACAAGAAAAAAAGACAAGACAGCTATAGATCTAAGATAATGATGTTGCCTGGTTAATACCTCCTCTGTGTGCAACGGATCATTCAGTGTAATTTCTAATTAACACGTTGCTATTTACTCTGTTGGATCATTAGGCCTCATCACAAAAGGATAATCCAGTCAAATTGAGAGTTTATGCTTGCCTTCCACCTTCCATCATGGTGCTGTTTGCTAATGAGTCTTGTTGCAATTATCTAACAAATTAAGACAAATGCTGCCCGTTCAGCCAAGATAAATGTATAGAGCCCGGATATAGCATTAACACATAGTATAACACAGATGTATGCCTCATGTTTTTAGTGAATTCATTTAATCATTATACCCAAAATGTAAAAAGAAAAGAGCAAAATAAATACAATAGCATATCATTAATCATGAGTTTGGATATCATTTTGTACGTGTTCTTATTATTGTTTTATTGATATTTTACAGTGTGAAATTGTAGTGAAAAAGCTAAATATTGACAATGAAAAATTATTATTAAAGCTTCCTTTTTAGCCAAATAATATAAATATCCTCCATTATGATATTGCTGCAAAAAAAAGCCCACGCTAAGTATAACCTTAATGACTACATATTGCACTATTGTCATTTTTATGATGTATTGTTTATTACACTAACTCTCAAATCTCTCGTCAATACACAATTAGGTGTCAGAGAGCAGCTATTGTTTTTCATGCAGTTCCCTGTAGCTTAGCAGATGATTAAAACACAAAAAAATAGTAGTCTTGTCTGATGCAAAATGTTTCTCCTTTTTAAGAGTAATACAAGAACTGCTTTCTTAACGCGGCCGCTGTAGCAGACCCCTCCTTTCATGATGAAAGAAGGGTTGAACGCTAGGATCAGAGATGGAAGTTTTAACCTATTTGTGAAGCAGAATCATTAGGAAGATTCTCCAGCCAATTTCCATAAGTGGGGTAGCGGGATGTATTTAGGCTACTCGAAGTATATCACTAATGAGAAAAGACAAAAAGGATTCATGTGCATGTTTTATGCAATCTCTTTCTGGGTGTAGATGAATAATTATTTATGATTGCAAAGCCTAAAAGGGAGGCAAAAAGATAGCAACTGCAAAGAGACTGGTACAAAATTTAAAGAGGAAGTTAAATGAATATTTAAGGGAAGATGAAATATTTAATGGAAACAAATGAGCAAAACATTTAGAACTGCATGATAAATAGTAGTGAATGCCATTAAAATGACCCTCTTAATTTGTGCTATTTGCAGCGGTAGCCATAAGGTCTCATTCATACTTGTAATGGTGTGAACTGAGGACTCAGACAATTGTTTTCCACATGCCAAATATGAGAACATAATGTCTGTAACCCAGGGCTGACCTCCTCGCTGAGAAATATTAGCCTTTGATTCAGCGGAGTTTGTATTGATGCCACGAGGCAGAAACAATTCATGTTTTATTGACCTTGCACAAGTTGAGGTTAGGGTTCTGAAAAAATACACATAATGACAAATTCTGAATTTGGTTGCAGTTCATTTCTCAAGGGACATTCTGCATTCGGGTTTATTTTAACATTAGTGTTTCAGTCTGATACTACATTTTTGAAAAATGTCCCCTACCAACATCAAAAGTCTGAACAAATTTGGAGTATGTACCAGCACAGTTCATTTGTTTTCCAAATGCGAGAATGATTAAATCAGCAAACAAATAATTATTCAAGTCAATGAGAACAATTATCTCAAAGACACCTCTGAGACTTGGATGTGCATACTGAATTGATTAATTATCCTGCTAAAGATAATTGAGTGGAGCCAGATCTTGACTGCGTCCTTTCAACATACTCTCGCCTCTATTTGGATCTTGAACATCTCCAGCATCATTCATAATAAACTCATGGTGATATCTTACTGTTTGGTTAAAAAAGATTGCCATGGTGTTATGACACGTGGGACTTTAAAGAGCTGGATTTTAATTGTTGCATACTTCTGCACTATTATTCGTGAATCATAATGAAAATAAAATACCCATGGCTAGAAAATACACGGATACTCATGTCTTACAAAAAACTGCGTGAAGATTTTATAATATATTAAAATCTGTGTAAAATTGGCCACTAAATGTATTAAAAATGTTGCATTGTTCTGGCCTTAGTTGGTCTTTTTAAGTTCAACTTTTTCCCTGACGCTGTGTCATGCCCTTACTAACCCGTGGGCAAACTACTTCTGAGCCAGACAGAGATCATTACCTCTGTGAATGATGGCGGGGTAGCCCGAGCCCAACAGCTTTATTTCCCAGCTCAACTTGGCGGACGCAAGCCATCACATCCTGTTAACAATTCAATGGCTCCACCATAAAGATAAGCCCCCTCAATCAGCTCCGTCTGTCTCTATCGCCACTGAGGGGCCATCAGTCATCACGAGCTGTGGCGGGAGCCCCTTCACATTCACTGGTGATTGACACAGTTTAGATGATTCAGTCAAAACCTCTGTTTATTTCCTCTGCGGTCCAGTGTACGGTTTTTCAGTTCATGAAATATATATTCGTCAGATCAGCATATTCAACTTCATGCAATCAGTCTTATCACTCTGAGCAAATATTGGTCCATTTGATGTGGAGTCGTCCAAATGGCGAGATGAATTAAATCAAAGGCGTTGACATTTTAATCAGAGTGAACATAGAAGCCAATTGTCACTGTCAAACCACATGAAGGTCATTGCAGTTGTTAAGGATCTGCTTGCCATAACATTTAATCGTTACATCCTAATGATTCGTTTACATGTGAGATCAGGTTGATATTTTATGTATAAGCACACATTCTATTCAAGGCCTTTTATTCTATTAACCTGTCCTGTCTTCATTAGATATTTTCTAAGATAATTCCCATATGGCTTAGCCTTTGATAAATATGCTTTTAGGTCTATCTAATTAATGCATTCCGCTGTGATTTTCTTCACTTGTCACCCACTCTTTAACCTCATAGCGGAGGAACAGACTTTTCCTACTCAAATGAAAGGTCCTTGGAGACGCTGCACATGTGTGAGCTAATGATGTGGTGTGCGCTGTACAACCTGATATCTTATCTGGAGGGCCTTGTGGAAATGTTTTCAGTAGAAATGAATTATATGACCTCACTCTTGTTATGTAGTGTGGGTATATTTCAAGCAAACATGATTTAGTTTATTGTGTCTGTTATTAACTAATTCTGACTGATAGTTGGATTGCCTCATAGATTTTTAATCTACGATTTTTACGATGTTGGCTCGGTTTAAATGTGAAGTGTCTGTTGCCATATTACAGTTGATAGTGTTTGATCATTTGTACCAAGAGACTGTAACTCTTTACATTAATTTGAATACTAGGGGAAATGTAATCAAACAAAGCTGCATTTAGATTCATGTGGACATAGACCAACAAATCTTTGTGTTGAGACAGCATTTCTGAAGAGACCCAAGAGGATAGGCTAAGTCTACTATTTCTAAATTAATTAAACCAATTCAGCATTTTTAAATGTACTACTCAATTTTTCCTTAAACTGCCAGCATAATTGCCGTTTCCAGCCATGTGACCATGGGACC